CCGCCGATTGATCATTGTAGCTGAGCCGTGAGCAAAGCAGGATTGTCATTTTGCATCGGAGCGCGTTTGACGTAAATACTCTCTGTAGTACACCAATATCAGGAGTGGATAAACTCTATTATCCAATCCTGCCAATATGAAGCGAAGTCGTACGCTGCAATACAACCGACAGTGGATTAAAGCAAAGCGAGCAGCTACCAGTGCGCACACTAGCCAAGTTCATAGTGAATCTTCCGATGACAGTGAGTTGCCAGGGACCTCCCCAGTGAAAGACCTTTCGCATATTACAGTCAGTGAAAGTGAGTGCAGAAGCCACAAAGCACAGAGAGCAATCAGATCTGCAGAGTGAACGTGATTCAGATGATAGCGGCGATGACACGACCATGCCGGATGCGTTGTCATCTGATTCTGAAGAAGAGATAGACGCTAATTACTCCACTGCAAGCCTCTTGCTGACTGGACTAACATACCAAGTTAAGCATAATGCCGTAGATGAGATGCTTCGNTGTTGCATCTATAGCCAAACTTCATAGTAATTAAGCAAGATGATTGAAAATTAAAGTCACTGAAGCTAGACTTAATGTCAGTAGTATAAGAGCCCATGGGTATAAAAGTTTATGTCATTCAGCACTGTAACGATGAGCAAAGTTGTTATTCCATCTACTCATACCTTAATTGATAATACTATTTGTATACAACAAGCGTTATGCATGCACAGTGATTAATTTCAGCTTTCAACACTGAGTATAAATTTATACTTGCCTTATTCTTCTTATACTTCTTCTTTCGCCTCAGGCTCTTCTCCTCCTCCTCCTTCTTCTTCTTCTTCTTCTTCTTCTTCTTCTGCTTCTTCTTCGTCGTCTTCGTCTTCTTTCCTTAATGTTAATATTCAAATATTAATTAATATGTGCAATCAAAGATAGTAATATATATAATAATGATCTAAAAGAGTCCAGCTAACATAGGCTAATTATTATATATTAATATTATACATGCAGCTCAGGCATATGTATCCACAAATACCTCGGTCGATCGTCTTACCACATATTATCAGGAGTCTATCACTATCACTATCACTATCAGTATCAATATTGGTACTGGTAGACTCTTGATATTATTCTACAACTTTACACACTAACTAGTGTATCTAATGACACATTGCTGTGCCATCATTATATACAGGCATATATATTTCATATATTATACTACTGTATCATGTATGCATGGCTGCAATAATGTAACCCAACAAGCGAAGGGGTAGGCCTATGTCTAGCCAGCGCAGCGCGGCTGGCGCCAGCGGCAGTCAATGTAAGCGGGCTATAGTACTAGAGCTAGCCTATGTCCAACTATAGGCCTACTCAGTTATACTCAGTTTGGTTACATTATTGTATCCCAAACATGTGTGTATCAATACCGTCGAATGCTAACCCGGGATGCTAACATACAAAATAAACAGACTATCTTATATAAATATCTTATATAACTCAGAGAATTAAGGATCAGATTATAGCCATACTTTGACCAGCAAAACTTGCACAGTCGAAATCCAACGGTCGTTTGTGGTACGCGCCAATATCAATCACTAGGTACGCGAATAGAACAACACGTATGTAGTCTGGGACTCTGTCCGTTAAATAGCGTGAAGTGCGCAGCGGAATGGGGTCGTCAGAGCAGACTATCATCTATCTTTAGATTCGTCCGCTGACTGGTCAGGCGGCAGCGTCTGTGATCCCCGGTCCACGCATCGACATCATGTGCGTATATACGCGACACCGTATATACGCGACACCGACACGCTCATATATTGGAACAATCTATCTCTCTCTATATAATATATATATATATATATATATATATATATATATAAATATATATATATATATATATGCAACACTTCATTACGAAGGTTGGAAGTTCAAACCCCGGCTATGGCATCGGGGGCGGGGCGGAGGGGGGCCTGGGGGGCCGGGGGGGGGGGGCCATGGGGGCAGTGAACTTTCTCAAGATAAATCTATAATATTATGCAATGACTTTGTTTCAAAATTAGGGTGTAATAGTAGGAGCTCCCATACTTTATACTCCCCAATTGATCTTCGCTCCCGATAGACTAGCTATATAGCGCCAATCTATAGATTTTCAATACGTCTCCCAGGAGAAGTGTAAAAGACATGCACACCGCGTGAGGATGGCGAGCGCAGTTGGCTATATATATAACGCCATGCGGGGTGTATGAAGCAGGCCGGTTCCAGAGTTGATCACTGCATGTATTTCTCATGAAAATATTACAATATAATATATATATATATGTGTGTGTGTGTGTGTGTGTCGTGTGTGTGTGTGTGTGTGTGTGTGTGTGTGTGTGGTGCGCGTGCGTGTGGCGCGCGCCGCGTGTGCGCGTGCGTGGTGTGCGCGTGTGGCGTGTGAGTGCGTGTGTGTGTGTGTGTGTGTGAGTGCGTGCGTGCGTGCGTAGCGTGACTTGCGGCACGCGTGGTTGCGCACGTGCGTGTGTGAGCATAGGAGAGAGAGGGAGAGCAGAGAGAGAGAGAGAGGAGAGGATCATATAGTTATATCTGCTAAAACGCTGAGATGTTGAGATGTGGTTATAATTGCAAGAGCCAAAATTTTAGTCCGGCCAACCCGGTTGGGACGCGGTTAATTAGCCCCACCCCTCATTGCAACCGCCCGGAGAGCGCTTTCATATACTAGAAAAAAACAGGTGCATTAAAATATAACATTTCATTTCTCTCGCAGATACCCGTAAGCACCAAATCAATATTATATATATTTCTCACAGTGCTGCACAAAATTATCCTTCTAGCTATAGGGCATGTATTCTGTTTTCATAATTCGATTTCAAACTTCATTCGATGCGTGAATCGAAAGATTCGATGGCATCATTCGATGGCGTGAATCGAATTATCGATGCATCATTCGATTCAACCGGATCGAATGCATTCTGATTCAAGCTCGAATCATTCGATTCACGCCATCGAATATCGATGCAATCATCGATGCGTGAAATACGAATGATTCGATGCGCGAATCGAATGATTCGATGCATCATTCGATTCAAAACGCATCAAATCATTCGATTACGCGCATCGAATCATTCGATTCACGCATCGAATCATATTCGATTCACGCATCGAAATGATTCGATTGGCATGCATTCGATGCGTGAATCGAATGATCTCATCTCGCGACCCCGATCTCATATGGCGCTCACAAGCTTCACACGGCTCAACACCAACGCTCGCATCACGCTTGCAACTGCCCTCACTGCGTCTTTATTGGCGACCATCAGATGCGCATATTGGCGTTCGAAGCGACGCTTGGCACTGCGCTAAGCAACGCTCACCGGCGCCTCAACTGCGGGCGCCAGTCACGCTCGCTAGAGCGACATTAATCACGCTCCTAGGCAAAGGCGCCGAACTGCGCTGGCAACGACCCATATAAATACCGCGTCGCGTTCTAGACATCATCATTCGTGCTGCCGTGCTGTCAGATGCAAGATTAATTTCTACTGATTTATACCCGGCATAATAGTATAATAGTGTGGGCTAACAACTATGCGCCAAAAGACTTCTATTTCTGCCTACTCATCCTCGCTCAGCATGATGAGGGCTTGCAATCCAGTAATTGGTTTGTCTTCTAACGAGAAACATGGCATGGGAGTAAGTGTTTGGGGCCTATCCATAAGTGGACACTGAACGTGGGCTGCCAGGGTAGCCAACGTCCCAATTTTCATACCCCAATGTTCGCAGACGTGATCTGAGGGCGTAACTAACACTGTAATGCGAACGCCACCAACGGCGTGGTCTGAGTGTGTGGCGTAGTACAATCGTAGACGAACGGTCAGCTGCTAGAGACGCCAACCAATGGTCCATAGGAGAGCGTGTCAGGNTTGTTTATTTCGCATTGTTCGCTTGATTGTTTAAAGCAGCTCGCAGCTCGCAAATACCGTATTTCTGGAGCCGCGAATGAGCGTGTGAACGCTCGGCCGCGTATTTGTCTCAGATTCGGTATTTCGCAAATACCGTATTTCTGGAGCCGCGAATCAGCGTGTGAACGCTCGGCCGCGTATTTGTCTCAGATTCGGTATTTCGCAAATACCGTATTTCATAAATACGAGGTCTCGTGTGCACGAGGCTATTGACATGCGTCACCCGCATGCGTATCCACTGGCACACGCGCACGTGCACCCAAACGCGTTGGCGTACGCACGCATGCACGCAAGCACGCACGCACGCTCGCACGCACGCACACAGCTAGGCACGCACGCAGGCACTCATGCAGACACACCCGCCAGCACAATACTTCAACCAATGATCCCATCGTTGCTCAACCCCTTCGGCAGCAGTAATGAGTAATAAACGTGAGTTTGATATACATGCGCGTACATGGTTAAACGTGACATACCTATAAAGCGAAATGCATAGCTATAGTGCACTTTTGAAGAAAGAAACGTTCTTTAGAGTTGATAATCATTTCATGCTAGATACTAAAAAAATCTACTATAATGAATTTAGTAAACGTCTTTGGCAATCGTTTGTCACGAACCTAAACATAGTCTTGGTAATGCGAACAGTAAATAAACGTTGGTTTTCAAAGTGTTTATGGAACCATTTCACAACCTTATTTTAAATGTTACGTAGTGGTTTAGAAAAAGTTTTTGGCAAACGTTTGATAAGAACCAACATGTAACGTTACTGTCAACGTTTATTGAACGTTAATAAAACGATTTTAGCAAACGTTATTCAAAACTTAAATATAACTTTATTATGAACGTTTTAATAACGTTGAGCAAACGTTTGTAGCAAACGTTTTTAAACAACATAAATATAACTTTATTAGAAACGTTTTAAGAACGTTGAGAAAACGTTTTATTCATACCAAACCATAAAATAACCATTTAGAAACGTTGCGAAAACGTTATGTGTTAGCTGGGTAGTCCGTATTTGCATCCTATTTTCTAATCTACTGAGTCGATTATCTTAATCGGTACGTATTAATCCAGATCGTCAAGCCGAGTTACGAATGATACAGTGAGTGAAATATGTGCACTACTTAGTGCAGACAGCACAGGTGATCTCCCGTCCATTCACGTAGTTTGGACATGGCAGTGATCCGCATTTAGCCTCCACGGGGTACCACAGACCTCCGTCCTCGTTTCCATCTCCCGACAAATTCACCTCTGGATCCTCATCCACGCACACGAAGTTTGACCGACCCTTGTGGAGCTCGTGCGACGACATGAGGTAGCTGGAGCATGCAAGGGCGAATATTAGGATTATCCATTGCAGTGAATATCGCAATATTTTATGCAGTTGCTATAAGCAAGTAAATGTGAACATCTGCTATTTCGACGCGGTAGTAAACAACACTAGCAGCAACATTCACGCTGCCGTCACCTTTATCGCTACCAGGTACGAACTTGCAATTTGTCGCCAGCGAGACATAACACGTGTATTCATGTATAGCAAGATGTTAATTTATTGATTACTAGTCTAGTCTATCCATACCGATCAGTCTATTGTCATATAATTTTAATAGTATTTTATTTTAGTGTTCCTCACCCATTAGCCCAGTATTATACTTATTAACAAGCCATAAAGTTAAACTATAGTTTTTGGGCTTTTGATAATATTATTATTAGTAGTATACTCCAATCTTCCATACCCATGGTATTCTAGTGACCAACTCGGAGGGCATGTGTTCCAGGCAGGAATCATTTGTTTGCTGGCACGATTGACACGAATAAATGGCGTTTAAAAGTTTCACACTTTTATGCTCGTGTGCTCGCTCGCTCGCTTGCTCATTCATGCACTAATTCCGTGACTTAATCACTCATTAACTCATTAATTCATTCACTCATTCATTCGTCTCGGAAATAAAACAATCGTCTAGGACTTACATGTAATTGTCTGCCTGGGCTCCATCTTGGAACCTGCCCCACTGCGGGACTGAGGGCAGACATTGGTAGTTCCCACCTCCCCCGTGGCGATTGTAGTAAGCACTGCCTACCACGCCTAATCGATGCATGTAAAAGTATCGGCATGTCATTCCCTCAATCAATTTTTATATATTGTACGCTGATTGGAAGGAACTGCAGTTTCTACGGAACGCGTGTCAATAAAGAACCGTTGTTTGAACTAGTTCCTNTTTTTTTTTTTTTTTTTCATTAAAAAATATAAATTTCAGAGATTTCTTGCTGTCCGTAATTTTTCGAGGTCGTCCGTAACACCGTAATTTTGACTCGCGTCCGTAACAAATTACGGGCAATACGTAACAGTTGGCAGGTCTGCATGTAGGTACAACAGCGTGCAAACTAAAAATAATAAGTATTTTTAAATGCCAAGTACCTAAGAAATTAGAAACGAGCAGTTGTCGCCAACTACATGTATCCACCGTGATCTAGTATGAATGAAATATATCAGTAAGGACGTAGAAGGCAGGTAAAGTAAAATAAGTCACAAAGACAAATGTTTGTTAGACAACTGCATGCCTCAGATGTGCAAGTATATGGAATCTGGTTACCCAAGGAGGCCGAATAGGAAATGTAAGTCGACGGTGAAGGTCAAACTGAGGTCAAGGGCAGTGGTGGTTTTGGTATGCGACAGACCTTCTCCCCAAGATCTGTAAGCATACCTGGTTTAAGCATAGCAAGCGCAAGTTTGGTCGCGCTAGGTCAATTAGGGACTGAGTTAGACAGCGGAAGAGAAATATGAATAAGGTCAAAGTAAAGGTGAAATAAAGGCCGCAGTGACCTGGTGGGCAGTTTTTACCCGATCTCGGATCATCTTAAAATTTGACATGAAGGTGCGTTATGGTAAAGCGAAGATGCCAATCGTTTTTTGTGTGGGCGGAGTCATCGTTGCCATGATAACAACATTTTTGTGGAAATATTGTAGAACCTGTAACTTGTGCTGCTTTTACCCGATTGTCATGTCCTATATATATAATATGATTGTCTAATTATGACAATCATAAATTTAAATATAAATTTAAATACAAATTTTAATACAAATATAAATTTCATGACAATCGGGTAAAAAGTGCAGAAGTTACAGGTTCTAGAATTTTTCGACAAAAAATGTTGTTACCATGGCAACGATGACTCAGCCCACACCAAAAACAATAGGCGTCTTCGCTTTACGATAACGCACCTTCATGCGAAATTTGAAGATGATCCGAGAAGAACTGCAGCCGGTAGAGCGCTCACAAGGAAATCTCTGCAGCGGCGGCGGCGCGACGATAGTATCCCCACGAACTTCGTTCGGGGGATACAATAATTAAACTAAAGGACTACTAATACTATTGGACCATCGCTTATTTCGACCCCTGTTTTACCTTCTCAGAAAGAATTTCCATATGCGCTTCTAATTCCTGCAAGGCTTTTTTCAGCTTCTTGTTTTCTTCCTGCCAACAGATGGCGCCACAATATAGACATGCTGGGAGAAGATAAACCATTATGCTCAGCTGAATGTGGAGAACTACGTCGTTACGCGTAGACAATCTAAGATGTGCCATGCCGTATATTTTAATGATTGTATGCTCATGTCTTACTTCCATAGTTTTCATCCTCTCCTCGAGATTTCGGCCTCCCCTGTGAGTAGAATACGGATGTGACTAAATCACATATTACACATCAAATGATTCAAACGTCTTCATTCAGTATGGACAAACAAAAATAACATTGACAGTTTCAGTTGAAATTATTATTATTTAGTTAAAGAATACCAACGACCATTATTCATGGTGATATATATATATCCAAGGCGCACATATAGTGAATATAAATATACCAGAGTATGATTTGGAGGACTGTCTACGCATGCATGAATGAGGATCACGGCAGGGCGAGGCATTGTGACTGGTACTCACCCATCTCCTCCTCCTGTTTCACCAGGCTGGCTGCCACCATTCTGTATCTGCTATATGCATAACTTGATTATAAGCAATCACAATCAAACAATCATGCATTGATTTAACTAAACTTATTGAATCTCAGCAGGGTTCCCCCAGGAATATCAGACAGTACGTTATTTATGGATGGAAGGGAAGGGCCAGGGAGAGGGGTTTACCCCTCCCAATACATGAATTAAAACAAAACTTTAGTAACCATTTTTTGACACATTATTTTCACATAAGGGACAGGAAAATATTGAAAAGAAACAGGACATGGACAGGACTGAAATTTTTTTCAAGGACTTTTCAAGGACTTTTCAAGGACATTTTATCGGAAATTCAAGGACATTTTATCAGACATTTTATCGGAATTCATACACAGAACAAAACATACCTTGATTAATTTAATAACCCCATTCTTAATCACTGCATGTCACCTCTAAAACTTACCTGGATCACATTAATAAACCCTTCTAAACACTGTCACCTCTACAACATACCTTGATTTACTGACTGATTTTACTGACTTACTGTGATTTGTGATCATCATTTAACTGTCTATCGTGTCTTATATTTAACTGTCTATCGTGTCTATAGCTTTTTAAGCTCATTTAACGCAATTTTTATTGAGGTTTGCACATTATTGATGGTACCAAATTTCTTTTTATTACAGGCAAGAATTCTTTCTAAAAATTCAAGGCCATTTTCATGAAATTCAAGGACATTTCCATGAAATTCAAGCACAAAAGTAACATTTACTAAAATCAAGTACTTTTCAAGGACTCCCCTCGAATTCAAGGACTTTTCAAGGACTGTGCGAACCATGCAGGAAGATAGTACAAGGGAACTGTACGACATCGCACAGATGGACACGTACCAAAGCTCTGGGTCTTGCCGAGTCGGCCCGAGGGTGAATTTTACAGGTTCGGCTCGCCCATCTGAGCGTGTTGAGCGTCTGCATGATGTTGGACCTGGCCGGGCTTATGCAGGCGATCATCACCACGACGCTGTTACCACCAATGGAATCTGCAAACCAACAGAGAATTTCGTCAGTGCAAGTTATTTTTAACTTAATTTGGATCTAACTGAGGTAAACTTTATTAGCATATGGCAACAGAAACATCAGCGGACAAACAAGAGAAAGACACACAACTTCAGCAGAGCTGCCGAGCATTCTAAGCTCGGAGAGTGTCACACGGAAAGAACAAATCAAAGCACGACTTTTTACTATTAAGAACTGGAAACGAGCAGTTGTTGCCAACTACATGTATCCCCCGTGATCTAGTATGAATGGAATATCTCTGTAAGGACGTAGAAGGCAGGTAAAATTAAATAAGTGACAAAGACAAAGGTTTGTTAGACAACTGGTGTGCCTCAGATGTGCAAGTATATGGAATCTGGTTACCCTAGGAGGCCGAAGAGGAAATGTAAGTCGACGGTGAAGGTCAAACTAAGGTCAAGGGCAGTGGTGGTTTTGGTATGCGACAGACCTTCTCCGCAAGATGTGTAAGCATACCAAGTTTGGTCGCGCTAGGTCAATTAGGGGCCGAGTTAGAGAGCGGAAGAGAAATATGATAAAAGTCAAGATAAAGGTGAAATAAAGGTCGCAGTGACCTGGTGGGCAGTTTTTACCCGATCTCGGATCATCTTCAAATTGATTGCTGGTATAGCATCATGATGTGAGAAGGAGACATCAGTTCCATGGGGCAAATAATCTACGCAGTGCAGCTTACGAAACTCCTTCCAATCAATAGCCAGTGAAATCACACTGCTTAGTACTGAGGGTTTTTATATCAATATATTTACACTTTTAAGCAGCTAACCCGCTGATAGACGCTCTGTGCACCACGGCTGCATCACTCACCCTGTAACAGCCTGGTGAGTTTGGAATCCCTCTATGGTAGCTGACATGACATTTCCCAGTGTGAGTAGCTCTTGATTTATCCTCACACCTAAAACCCAAAATCGCAAGATTGATTGTCAGAAACATTATAAATGGTTAGGCAGCATTCGTAATTGGTTTTTAAATTTTCCGGGACATGTAGAAAACCTTTAACCTTTATAGAAAAATTAGATTTTTGCTGTAAGTTTTCTAGGGGAAAAGTAGAAGATTCTGCCCAATTTCGACCTCTGGTTCTAAGCCCAAGATGTTTAATACGTCATGCACAACAGTATGACATCGAAGACCTTTTAACTTTACAAGTTCTATTCATGTTTCTGACAACAGGCCTGTTGCTTCTTAGTGCAAATTGCCTGATTTAATTACAATATATTCTAACTCAACCAATAGTTAAATATGATCGACTTGCTATACAACCTTCTTCAATGCCTTTGCCTGTAGCTTGTGCTATTGTTACCAGGTCCGTGGCTGCCAGGTCTACCAGTCGCAACTTTGCTTTGCGGGAATCTCCACTGTTGCCAAAAGTTAAAAAAACCAAAATAACACACCGCTTGACCGCTTCTGACACCAAACACCAAATCTGATTGGCACCAACACCATTCTACACACAGTCACGGCACACAATTAACATGCATGTTCTTTTGCACGATAATCACCTACAGGAAACCATCGAGCAATGCTAGCACGCACCTGTTCTTGTGCTTCATCTCGATGTGGATCGTCACAATGACATGCGAGGAACTCGCCGTTGATGATGTGGTGCGGCCGGCTGGTCCCTGGTCCAGCCACTCCAGCATTGACTGACAGTCTGACTGTCTTACTTCTGATAGACCTGCAATCTACACATCAGACACACGCTTACTGCTATGCACACGTGGACAGACCTGCAATCTACACATCAGGCAGGTTGTCTAATGCCTACTTCAACATTGCTATGAGGTCGCTCAAGCTCAGCCAGTATGTAGGCCTACCTGATTTAGTGTGCACGCCTGAATGTTGAGTTAATTTGTGACACTTTGATACCAAACATTGTGTTTAGACTATCCTCAACACTGTTCAGTTAGATCTATCTGTCAATTGTACTTTTTGGTCATACTATGACTCCTTTCTGGAGAATTGACAACCACTGCATGAGCAAGATAATAACTCGAGAGTCACGAAAGATTTTGATAGTTTGATCTCTACATGTTTGTGATTACATTTACAAGTGCATACTGCCACCGTTAAATAAATGGTAACGGAGGTGTGACGCTTGTCAATAGCGTACTCTGTTACATTACTTAGTACATTTTGCTAATTCAGTCTCCACAAACCTTCCTGTCTTGGAACTATCCTCTTGAAGAGTTATCCGACCCTTCTTAGGCTTGAGGAGGTCACGGATCTATGTAACTATATCAACACACAATGATTCACAAAATAAAATTTTGGAAACTAGTTATTGCCCTTCTAGAAAATTACACCCTACATAGACAAAAACCTACGGCCGTACACGCAAAAACTATCGTGAAGCCAGTAAGATACCTAAAACTCTACACGCAGCTTCCAACAGGACAATCTTTGTGATTGGCCTCACCAGTTCCGTGAATCACGTTCTCACGCGAACAGACATGACATTCCCATCTCTGAGTTCAGACACTTCAACGACAATGCCGAAAAAGCCACAGATTAATTTCGAACTGGGTTTCGAACTGCCCATTTCGACTCGCTCAACTGTCTACCTACGTTAAATAAACCATTATCATCAAAGTATGGACATAGATACTTCAAAGAACTCGATTTCTTGATTTCCTTCCCTTCACATAACCTTTTAACTTCCTGAGGATACCAACGCTCCTGAGCAGATTTGATTAAACAACGCTCTGCACGCTGAATGTGACCAACAACCAATGAGCCTAATTTTACCGCTTTACGCTTGCAGACATCTGCTAACCTGATCCGCCATGTAAGCGCTCTTTTCATTCTGAACCACCCAGAACAATGATTTGCTATCAAGTCTACGGGATTTCCACTATCTGAACTACGATCCGTTCCCACATCTGCCACATGACACACTCTAATTGGCTCTCTTTTTAACTCAAGATCATCCGCTGACGCGCTCCTTCTGCGACTGGGGAGGCGGCAGTGCGGAGAGGTCATCTTACCCTGGCAGTCAACCGGGCGGTTAGATGTGATAGCCACTGAATTATCCTCGTCATCATCATCATCATCATTATCATCATCAGCATCTCTTCCCTCTATCATTATGTTATCGGCAATTGGAGCAGACAAAGCACTCACAAAATGTGACACAACAGTACGACCGATCTTACCAGCTGGAGATTGACCATTGACACACCAACCAAACCGCGTTCTAGCAGCGAAAGGCTCACCTAGGCCACCTTTACGTACCTCGAGTGGAATGAGGGCCTCAGTTTGATCTTGCTCTATCAGCAAATCAACCCCATGTACGACTTCACTAGATACCATATCAATGTCGGCCAAATGCTTATACGCCTTAACATCCAAGTGGGTAGATTTCACAGGTATTCTACCAATCACACATACCTCGGACATGCCTAAACTCTCACCATTACCGGATGACAATGATAAATTCACCATCCGAGATTTCGTTGGAGCCGATCTACCCAAAGTGTTCAAGTGATAGGACACTGTCTTTCCTGTCAATTTTAACCGACTAGCCAAACTACTCGAACAGAATGAATTGCTAGAACCAGTATCCAGTAGTGCCTTGACTAGGACCTTATTGTTAACTAATACCTGTACGATGGGCATGTACGTTTCTTTGTCCGAGGACATACTTGCACTTGACACGCTCCTGCTTGGGTTTACAGGTACCGACTGATCACCAACATCGTGAATGTACATGGTATGTTTCTTTCCACAGCCTGCTACAGAACACACTGACCTTTTCCCACAATTGTGTGCACTATGCCCAGGCAAAAGACAGTTTTCACACAATCTACGCCGCTTAACCAGATCTATACGCTGCTTAACTGACATACGTTTGAACAACTCACAACGCCACAACCTGTGATACCCACTACACAGAACACAAGCTGGTTGTGGCCTAGCATAATTTACACTATAGCGCATAGCTGAAGCACTAGCTGAATCACCATTAGCCCCTGCACTGGTAGACATAGCATAAGACGTAGAAAATTGGACCCTGGGTTTACCTGCGGTTTCCCTTTTAAATGATAACCCCCCATATACCGGATCATTGCTCTCTAGAGCCCGTTCTGCAACAAATTTGACCAAATCAGCAAAGGCAGGATAACACCCCTTAGCCCTCTTAACTTCCAGTGCACGGTTCTTCCACATTATCTGAATATAGGGCTGCAAGCGATAGATGATAGCAAGAATTGTGGACTGTGCGCTGACTTCAGCAAGCATGCTCAACTGCTTCAATATTAACTCTGCATTTCTTAGGTCATCGGCCAACTGCTGGATTTCGCTTGGGGACCTGACAGGTTTCTGTCCTTTTAAATCCGAAATGATTCTCTCTGCTACTAAGTGGGGGTTTCCAAATCGTTCCTTCAGAATCTGCAAGGCTTGCGCGTACCCTTCGTCCCCACCAATCAACAAACAGCCGCGGATAGCGTCTTTGGCAGGACCTTTGGTGTACTGCACCAGGCGGGTTAATTTTACATTAGCATTCAAACACACTTGATCGATGTTCAATTCGAAAGATTTTATAAACTGGTGATAGCGCAAGGTATCCCCATCAAAATACTCTAACTCTACTTTCGGCAGATTCAGAAAAGCAATTAGATCGCTCGGCAGCCCACCGGTCGCAGCTCCCTGCTCTACTTCTACCTTCACTGGGTCACTTGCATTTTCCAAAGCCTCAATATAATTATCCTGTTGCTTATAGTAGTATTCTTCGCTATCATCGATATCGGAATCGCGAACAAGGGCATTATGAACAACATTATGTGTATCGGTAAACGTCTGAAATCGACGACTTAACGCCAGACACTGTTGCTCTACGCAGTCTAACCTGTTTTCTGCCAACAACTGGCGCGTGTAATTTATCTCTTTCGTCAGGGCACGCTTCGCCTTTGTCCTTTCTGATTTTGCTTCGGCCATCTTGAAGTGTAGATCCTGCCTACGTCCGGTTAATCAGGGTGAAATGGAAGGTAGACTCCATGACAGCGTTTTTTTACTGTGATGTGCGCTGCCGAGACGAGGAAGAAGACGAAGGCTCAGGCTGCGGTCTAACCAGCCATTTTCTACGCATCTATCAACGCGTGACATGGCGTAATGATGGTAAACTGTAACACATAGAACACACAACTTTAAATTTACACACACAAACACAATAATGAAATCAGGTCGCACATTACATAGGTATCACCGATACACTGCTAACAACTAACAACTTTGCACACGCGATAAGTCTCCATTTCACTCCTAGTTCATCCGATAGAACCTTTGGATATCCTGACATATATTATTTGGGTATTCTGCGCCCCACGACAAACATTCCGACATATGTTACAGGGGGTATTCTGACACACTAATATTCCGACACATATTAGCTTGGGTATTCTGATACACTAATATTCCGACATATATTAGCTTGGGTATTCTGACACACTAATATTCTGACATATATTATTTGGGTATTCTGCGCCCCACGACAAACATTCCGACATATGTTACAGGGGGTATTCTGACACACGGCTACAAACAATGCATTAGCAATCTATATCAACGAAACAGTCATAATATGGCGTACGTAACTTATCTTACCTAGGGAATACACACAACGCCAACGCAAGATAACGACAAATACTAACGTACGGCTGACACAATTTTACCAGTGAAATATCACGAACATAAATTGTTCTTAAACCAAATATACCTCAATCCGCATTCATATAACAAAAAATAACTCACGTTCAGAGCGGTTGGACGGGGTTAACCAGGAGCACCTGAAAAGGCACCCGCTTCGCACAGCTACCGCCACGAGAAGAACGCAAAGTCAGTTGACCTGAACAAGCAGGACGTCCGGTAGTCGGAGCTACCGGAAAATGCGGATCGCGCAAAACGCGGAGCAAGTAGTGTAACCAACGCAAACATTTATCGCTGGAGATAACAGTAGTAATAGTAGTCGTAGCTGTGGTAGTAGTAGTAGTAGTAGTAGTAGTAGTAGTAGTAGTAGTAGTAGTAGTAGTAGTAGTAGTAGTAGTAGTAGTAGTAGTAGTAGTAGTAACGTACGTGGCTCCTTCCCTATCCGCACAATACGGCATCACACCATCCTCTCTGTCTTCTTCTTTCCTTCAGCTGAAGCGAGTAAGGAATCTCAACGCGCAGATCGCTGATTCGCAGTCTGAAGCGTCGACGAGTGCGAGTAGGATCAATGCGAGCAACTATCTCAAGGGAAAACGCCGCCATGCTAGCCATAGAGCTGAAGATCACCCAAGGATCGTCTGAGAGAGGTAACGTGATGTTCGCAGAGACAGAAAATGTCTGACATCGTCGGATATATCCATCGTCTGCTGTATAGTCTCACGTTGCAGAAGGATATGTCACTGTCTGGTCTTCGTTCGTCGTTCGTCGTCGTCGTCGTCGTTCGTCGTCGGTCGTCGTCGTTTCGTTCGTCGTGTCGGTCGTCGTCATCGTCGTCGTCGTCGATCGTCGTCGTCGTCGTCGTCGTCGTCGTCGTCGTCGTCGTCGTCGTCGTCGTCGTCGTCGTCGTCGTCGTCGTTGTTGCTATTGAAACAATGTTCTATACAGATGATCTATGTTACCGAGCTAACCTGGGGTCATAGAACTCTAGTTACCTATAATGCAAGTAATAGAACATTGAAATAATTATTTGTATAAACTCGGTAACTCTTTATTTTAGTACGAAGCAAAGATCGAGGTACAAGAGAGAGTAATCTGCGATCTAAGAGCACGCATTATTGATGCCTAAACACACGGACACGATTAATACCAATCTGACCCACGGATGGCGCCACTTTACTGCCGTGCAAAATAATGACAAAAGCGCGAAAGCCAGAAGGCACAAGCTAAATTCTCAATTAAAAACTCAACTAAAATTTAAAAAAGTCTTCTTTGTCATCAGAGCAGGAGATTACGATTTACTTTCCACTCCTCAGTTAATAAATTATTAGACGGATTTCATTCGTTAGCTGTTATCTAAATTTAAAAGAAACGAGATTCCAGATTTGAGAATTTCGATTGAACCTTCTGAGCTTTCGTACAAACGCACGGTCTGTGATTTTACGATTGATCGACAACATCAGTAGTGCTTAGTATAGCAGCAATGTAACGCGCAACTTGTTTAACTTCTGTCTAGAGTACCCTCGCTCGTAATCTTTATGGCGAACTTTGGTGTTTGACACGTGAACTAGCACCTGCTATTAGTGTCTGGCCAGGATATATATTGTCTAGATACGTCGACAACTCACTGCACTCTAGATGCTGCTAAATACGCCCACATGTACGATGGTGTATGCCTCGATTATGATAGTGTAGACGCGTAGTGCGCACTACAGAAGTAGAAGTGGTAATTGGTATTGCAAGAGACTACAAAGAAGAGAAAGACAAGAAGTAACACGAAACGAATGATTTACTCAAGAGCAGAATAAGTAAGAATACAGATTCTCTCAGTGCAGCCACTGAACAAGGTAGAGAAGTTTGGCTATAAGGAACCCTGTATCACGCACTTACAACTTTCTCGACGAACGTCACAAAGTAAGAGGGTGCTGAGGAGAGGCGGCTCCCACTATTTATACGTCGTGGCTTAAACCTACGCCCGCGCTCTTTCTCCCACGTCACCGATATCTCACTATAGGCTCACTTGGACAACCAATCATTACCGAATACGGTAGGATAAGCGAGCTAATATTCAGCTGAGAAAGTGTGACCAAGTGCTGAGAATTACCTAAACCAGGATACAAAACTCATTTCTGTATGGCAACTCAAGTTTGCATAGCTACATACCTGTAGGGGTAGTTACTATCTATATATGCATCACCAGTTATAATAATTGCTCCATGCGCATGCGTGCGTATAATAATGGATCATACGTAGGGCGTTAGTCGTTGTGAGTGACTAGCAGCAGCAGAGGAAGAATAATTCAACCTGTCGTAAAAAACTGATATATGCGGCGCCCGTGAAAAAAAAAATGATGAAAGGGTGACGCACGCATAGTAAATATTTAGAAGTAGAGTTGGCATAAAATTGTCACATGCGTTGCATAATATTACTGCACTCTCGTGAACTTGCTTGTTTATTTCACCTTGCTTTATAGAAAAAATAATTAATTATGTAGTTGTTTTACTACGTGATGTGCGCGGGATTTCTCGCTTAGGTTGCGAAGTCTACGGAGGTTGCATTACATGAATTGCTATAACTCTATATCCAGAAACATTTTCGACAAACTCTTCGCTATGTTAGATATTGAACGCTATTTTCATTGATGACGGATATTAATGAAGTATACGAGTGCCGTGACACAGTTGTTGTCGTTGGGCGATGGCTGCGTCTTGGTATGTTGGAAGGTTTTAATGGCGGCCAATAGTAGTTACACAGGCCACGAAACTCTTTAATCACACCTCGTGCGTTCTGTTTAACATGTTATATGCGTTGCACATGTGTTATATGAGTTTTATGTGATCGTATATAAACTATATGTGTGTTTATTATGTATGATGTTTAGTTATAAATGTTTAGGAATGAGCTATGCCTTTCGTCTTGCAATAACTCATGTATATCTAACATGCATATCTAACATGTATATATCTAACATGCACTCATGAACATGTATATATGAGTTACTAATATAGCGCGTTTATAGTGCGTCGAAGAACTGTTCTTACGTACATTTACGTTAAAGGGACAGTAGCCTCTATAGCTAACAATCAGTTATCTGAACAATCAGTTATGTGAACAATCAGTTAAACGAACAATCAGTTATGTGAACAATTAGTTATGTGAACAATTAGTTATGTGAACAATT